ATCTGGGGCTCCACGCAAGATCTCACCCCGTGGGGTCAAAATGATCACAAGAACGGTGAGCAAAAATCCCAGAACCACACGGGGGGACCTAGTGAATGACCTGCAGAGAGCTGGGACCAAAGTAACAAAGCCTACCATCAGTAACACACTACGCCGCCAGGGACTCAAATCCTGCAGTGCCAGACGTGTCCCCCTGCTTAAGCTAGTACATGTCCAGGCCCGTCTGAAGTTTGCTAGAGTGCATTTGGATGATCCAGAAGAGGATTGGGAGAATGTCATATGGTCAGATGAAACCAAAATATAACTTTTTGGTAAAAACTCAACTCGTCGTGTTTGGAGGACAAAGAATGTTGAGTTGCATCCAAAGAACACCATACCTACTGTGAAGCATGGGGGTGGAAAAATCATGCTTTGGGGCTTTTTTTCTGCAAAGGGACCAGGACGACTGATCCGTGTAAAGGAAAGAATGAATGGGGCCATGTATCGTGAGATTTTGAGTGAAAACCTCCTTCCATCAGCAAGGGCATTGAAGATGAAACGTGGCTGGGTCTTTCAGCATGACAATGATCCCAAACACACCGCCCGGGCAACGAAGGAGTGGCTTCGTAAGAAGCATTTCAAGGTCCTGGAGTGGCCTAGCCAGTCTCCAGATCTCAACCCCATAGAAAATCTTTGGAGGGTCTGTGTTGCCCAGCGACAGCCCCAAAACATCACTGCTCTAGAGGAGATCTGCATGGAGGAATGGGCCAAAATACCAGCAACAGTGTGTGAAAACCTTGTGAAGACTTACAGAAAACGTTTGACCTGTGTCATTGCCAACAAAGGGTATATCACAAAGTATTGAGACACTTTTGTTATTGACCAAATACTTATTTTCCACCATAACTTGCAAATAAATTCATAAAAAATCCTACAATGTGATTTTCTGGAAAAAGAATTCTCATTTTGTCTGTCATAGTTGACGTGTACCTATGATGAAAATTACAGGCCTCTCTCATCTTTTTAAGTGGGAGAACTTGCACAATTGGTGGCTGACTAAATACTTTTTCCCCCCACTGTATATGGCAGTCAATAAAGAGTATTGTCAGTTTGATAACTCCATGAAAATTCCCCCAAAACAGATGCTGACCAGAACAAAGGTGGTGAGGGCAAGATTTCATTCATCTCCAACAAATAAAAAAAGTAAATTTTTTATACTTTTCCAATGGAAAACATGAGCAGGCACGACTCCAACACCAACATTAAGTTTGCCGACAATATCATATTTTCATAGAAATATGGAAGAAAGCAAAGGAAATGTAATTTTTAAACCTGTCATTTCAGACATGGGTAGCCCTGTAGTTCAGTACATAAATTGAAATCAACAAAATACAGAGAGCTATGTTTCTGAGTGAGATCTGTGGATTTGATGACTACCCCGGGGTAATACTGTCCGTCAGCGGTTTGATCCATGCCACGTCCTCACAAATGAAGTCTGCATGGGTTCATCCAATGTAAGAAATACACTGAACAGCGTTGAGCTTCTAATAGAACATACAAACATACGTAAACTTTACATTCTTCACGCTCGAAGCCTGTGGAATGGCTCAAACTCCATCAGAACAATGACCACTTTTCCGGCAAACACTACTCACTACAAAAAAAAATACATCCAGGGAGAAAGAAGAGAATAATAATCCCATACATTTTGCACATTTGTTACACAATAATACACAGTGATCACAAAACGAAATGACAAGCTTCACTATATTCATGGCTTTTTGTTTGCTTTTCTACACAATATACCATTATATTTTTTTATCGAAGGGAGAAACAAAGCTTATGTACAATAAGTCATTATTACTTCTGACCTAGCAAATATCGTGTCAATAAAATGTTTTGTTTGATTAATTTTTTTCTTTTTTCTTGAAAACTTAAAACATTACAAACAAAACAAAAAATTAACTGAATTTAGACATCTAAAAACCCTAAAACATTTGACATTTAAAAAAAAGATTGTGTTTGAAATTACCAAGGTGTGTGGATTCATCTATTACAGTCCGCAAGAGAGAGAAAGGATCTTCAATATACAAGTCCAGCTTTGTAGCAAAAGGACATAGAAAAACGAGACAGCCGAATCAAACATACGAGGGGGTTGGAAAGAAAATGTACCCACCGACATAATTTTTTTTTTTAATGACATCCTATACTAACCAACCACAAAAGAGGGAATTGATTGACAATTGTATAAGCAACAAAAAACACTCTCTTCTGAAAGTAAACTTCCATTCACATCTACATATTGCACCTGCCAATCAAACCCAAGGTAGTTTCATAATGACTTGGTGTGTGTTCAGTATAAATAACTTACGAGAACTAGGAAAGGGGACTTGAGATTTCATAGGCCACTGCATGAGTGCACTTGACACACCAAATCTGTGTATCCAGTGGGTAGAGCTTGCATCCAATTTTCAAACTACTCTGCCATAGGACTAAATGTAAGCCCCTGTCATGTCAGGCCTGCTAAACTGCACACACCCAATGATAGTAGTGTTAACTATCATGAGATTGATCCAAATCAGTAGATTACCCCATTTCAAAGAATCCATCTTGATTGGTTCAGCTCCTCATTGCTTCCACTCTAACAGTGTTGGTCATAATCTCACAACCAAACCTTACAGGTTGTCAGTGCGTAAGAGGGTGACAAACCCCAAACTTCACAACTTTTTCTTGAGGCTAGTGAACAATACAGGTGAGACATTTTTAAGTGCTAATATTATTGCAGTGTTGCCATTGGGTCTTTCCATGGTCCTTTGGCTTTACTTAAGTCTCTCTATGGCAATTGGGATGGTGATGTGCCCTAACCCTTTATTCTATAACCTATTTGACCAAAAACTGACATAATACACTGTTGAGCCAATGGCCTACAGGAGCACATTTTAAATGTCATTCAACGGTTGACCTAAACTCCTGATACAGTGAGAGGTGAAATTGCAAAGATGGGTTAAAGCGTTTATAGCAGTAAATAATGCAACAATCCTCTAAAAGCCTGAAAGAAAGCCTGAAAACTGTGACGCTGAACCTAGCACAAACTAAAAGTCCTGTCTGATCTTCCCAACACTATCCATAAACCCTCTATAGCTTCTACATGGACGCACATGTAAATACTTATTTCCTATGCCAGCCAGGCAAACCCTAAACTAATTGAAGATCTGCTGGTCTACCTCTCTCTGAGTAATACTGCATATTGACTGAACACTGCTTTAATGTATTGTATGACCTGTAGCAAACTCGGCTTAGCGAGTCCAGGCGACTTCAAAAACAAACAAACACAGAAAGTGCTGCTGGTGAAATGTGTGTGGCAGTGGTAACAGAGTGTTGACAGAGTGATGCCCCAAAGTACAATGGGGGGCAAAAAAGGATAAAAACAATTTGGTGTCACTGCCAGCGTTAACAAACCTGTTCAAATCATTGAAAAGGTAAGAGGGTTAAACCAATTGAATGTCGTCTGATACAGTCCACATGAACACTCTGGACAATGGTCTCTCTCGTAGACAATCAGATAACATCCGGACCTTGGGGTACCTGGGAATTGTAACATTTTATTCCATTTTCATTTAAAAAAAAATTCATAATAAGAAAAGTGCTCTTCGAGAATGAGGCATCTCATGTGCATTGCCTGAACACGATGATTGATCCATCTCTCCCATTTTATAGATAAATCCATATCAGTTTCCTTTCTCTCAAGCTAGCCATCGATACACATCCATATAGATATTTGAATAGTTTCAATCTGTTCATTACTTTTTGATAATTATCGTCTCCTGGGGCAAGTACCTCTCAGATACGCAGCCTTTACTACAGGAGACGCCGCAAAAAAGAAAAAACTACAATCAAGAAACCCTAAAACAACAAGAAAACAAAAAACATGCCCAATGCCACAGCCAACTCCAGTCCTCTCCATTTCCATCACGGTACCACAAGGAACAGTTGGGTTTAGAAAGGTTTGAAGTCTCTGCATACTCTGAATGTGAAGGCATTGAGAGGTAATGGAGGATCTTGGGGGCAGCTTTCATGACCCCATTTTCAGGCCAGTTCTGAGCAGCGAGATGGGATGATACGCCACAGTCCAAAATGGCTGTCACGCTCCTTCTCTCTGCAGGCCATGGCCTCCACCGGTGACATAGTAGGTATTTTTTCTCACCGTGCTTAGTTCCTTTATTTTTTTTAATGCTCCTTAGTGTGCACTTTCTGGATCTTGTCCTTGTTCTCGCTCCCATTAATACTGTGTCAAACAAAACATATTAATAGTGTTTCCTGGTTATGATCCGTCATCTTTGCTGGTCCACTCAAAGCAGGGCAGTCAGTCATTGGACCAGTGTCCAGTTGGATCCAGTTCATTCCACATGATCTCCCTCTTACATAGCGGTATTTCCATCTCTTTTGCTGCGTTGAAACTTCACAAGAATCCAATCCATAATAGAAGGTGGCTTAAAAAAAATTGAAAACTAAAGAACCGTACATATGGAGCGTAGCAGGGGAGTAGCTAAAAGATAATTATGGCAAAAGAAAAACAAAGATCCCCCCCCCCCCAAAATAAATAAAAGTAAGGGTATGAACTGAAAGTGAGGCGCTCTACGTAGCATAACAATAAAAAACCTTAATAAGAGTAATAGTAACTGAAGCGGTAACAGTTATCATAATAATAATAATAGTAACAATGACAATAATAGTAGTAACAATTATTTGAGAGTCTTCTAAATAATTTTGCTATAGTAAGAAAGTCGAGAAGATGCATTGACAGTTTGGTTGTCTTTTGTCTGGCTGATTGTGTCGTTTCTCAGGCTGATTGTGTAGTTTCTCAGGCTGATTGTGTAGTTTCTCATGGGTTAGTTTAGGTAGGCACACGGACAGGCACTGCATGCAATGGGGTGGGGGAGGTGGCCTTTTTTTTGTGAGGGCATGGTGGTGGGGGGTGGAGAAGGTGGCCCTTGGGGCGAGGATTGGGAAGGTGGGGGGGTTCATTTCTGTCCGTTGATGGACTGTGATATGGAGCGTGGCGGGATCATGTCCAACAGGTACTCCCTCTGGCGGTCCGCTAAGCTGGAGCCCTTGTGGGCCCCGACCCCTCCTTGGTTCAGGTAGGCAATGTTCAACCCTGACAGAAAAGGAGAAAGAGATCAAGAATAATAGAGAAGGCGAGAAAGAGCCAGAGAGAGTTCAAACAAGGAGGTTGAGAGAATGAACAAGGAAAGGAAAGTTAAAAGGACAGAAAGAGAGATAGAGGAAAAAGAAAGAGAGGAAGAAAGAGGAACACATTCAATAAAACCTTTGTACCCACAACATATTTAAAAGCGAAAAATGTTCCAGTCGGCTGTGTCTGTTTTGTCCACCAGGGTTGGGGTCAATTCCAATTTAATTTGAAATTCAAACGTAGTACTTGAATTCACTCATGAAGTGGAGAATTTATGTTGAATTCAATTAAAGTTTCAACAATCTTCAAGTTATGGAATTATGATTGAATTGGAATTAAATTGGAATTGTACAAAAAAACGATGTGGAATTGAATTGAATATTTGTACATTTCACAGTTAATGTACTTAGTATCGAAAATTGACCGCAGGATTTATTTTAAAATTATTTCTATTTGTCCAGTATAACTACAGTATAACTACGCTGTCTAAACAATGACATGATCAGCCTAACAGCCTGAGGGAATTTCATTGGAATTTGTATAATTGTTGGGGATAATATTGAATTGGCAATAAAAAAAAAAATGTATAACCCAACATTATAACTGAGAGGGATTTGAATTCTCTCTGAATTCAAAGACTGACCTGGAGTTTGAATTGAATTAAATATAATATATTTACAGGGAAAAGGAATTTAATTAGAATGTAATTTGTTGAATTAATCCCAAACCTGCTGTCCACCTCACCAGAGATTTCAGAGTTTGTTAGACAATCATAGGTATGACAATTATTATTGCAATAATTATTTTTATTTATGCTCTCAGTATGGCCATATTTGTGAAAAATGTATAAAGCCCATTGTGTCTCACTCTTACGCTTTCTTTGAATGCTAAACATTTGGGCATCACCTTCAGGTATAATTAATTATAATGCATTGTAAGACCTGTCATAAGCACATATGACCCCCATATTATCGTCTCTGAGTGCACAAAACATTAAGGATACCTGCTCTTTCCATGACATAGACTGACCAGGTGAATCCAGGTGAAAGCTATGATCCCTTATTGATGTCACTTGTTAAATCCACTTCAATCATTGTAGATGAAGGGGAGGAGACAGGTTAAAGAAGGATTTTTAAGCCATCAGACAATAACGACATGGTGTATGTGTGCCATTCAGAGTGTGAATGGGCAAGACAAAAAATTGAAGTGCCTTTGAACAGGGTATGGTAGTAAATGCCAGGTGCACCGGTTTGTGCCAAAACTGCAATGCTGCTGGGTTTTTTAACGCTAAAAAAGTTTCCTGTGTGTATCAAAATATTAGTCCACCACCCAATGGACATCCAGCCAACTTGATACAACTGTGGGAAGCAGTGGAGTCAACATGGGCCAGCATCCCTGTGGAATACAGGGATAAATAGGATAAAGTAATCCTTCTACCCCCCCCCTTACCCCACCCCCCCCAAAAAAATAAATAAAAATAATACATATTGTAAAGTGGTTATCCCACTGGCTATAAAGGTGAATGCACCAATTTGTAAGTCGCTCTGGATAAGAGCGTCTGCTAAATGACGTAAATGTAAATGTAATGAATACTTTCGACACCTTGTAGAGGGAGGCAACTCAGTATTAGGAAGGTGTTCCTAATGTTTGGTATACTCAGTGTGTGTGTGTATGTACAGTGAGGAGAACAAGTATTTGATACACTTCCGATTTTGCAGGTTTTCCTACTTACAAAGCATGTAGAGGTCTGTAATTTTTTATCATAGGTACACTTCAACTGTGAGAGACGGAATCTAAAACAAAAATCCAGAAAATCACATTGTATGATTTTTAAGTAATTAATTTGCAATTTATTGCATGACATAAGTATTTGATCACCTACCAACCAGTAAGAATTCCGGCTCTCACAGACCTGTTAGTTTTTCTTTAAGAAGCCCTCCTGTTCTCCACTCATTACCTGTATTAACTGTACCCGTTTGAACTCATTACCTGTATAAAAGACACCTGTCCACACACTCAATCAAACAGACTCCAACAACTCCACAACGGCCAAGACCAGAGAGCTGTGTAAGGACATCAGGGATACAAATGTAGACCTGCACATGGCTGGGATGGGCTACAGGACAATAGGCAAGCAGCTTGGTGAGAAGGCAACAACTGTTGGCGCAATTATTAGAAAATGGGGGTTGTTGCTCTTACTGAGGGAAGGGGGTTGTTGGCCAAGATCTCGCGATACATGGCCCCATCCATCCTCCCCTCAATACGGTGCAGTCGTCCTGTCCCCTTTGCAGAAAAGCATCCCCAAAGAATGATGTTTCCACCTCCATGCTTCACGGTTGGGATGGTGTTCTTGGGGTTGTACTCATCCTTCTTCTTCCTCCAAACACAGCGAGTGGAGTTTAAACCAAAAAGCTCTATTTTTGTCTCATCAGACCACATGACCTTCTCCCATTCCTCCTCTGGATCATCCAGATGGTCATTGGCAAACTTCAGATGGGCCTGGACATGCGCTGGCTTGAGCAGGGGGACCTTGCGTGCGCTGCAGGATTTTAATCCATGACGGCGTAGTGTGTTACTAATGGTTTTCTTTGAGACTGTGGTCCCAGCTCTCTTCAGGTCATTGACCAGGTCCTGCCGTGTAGTTCTGGGCTGATCCCTCACCTTCCTCATGATCATTGATGCCCCACGAGGTGAGATCTTGCATGGAGCCCCAGACCGAGGGTGATTGACCGTCATCTTGAACTTCTTCCATTTTCTAGTAATTGCGCCAACAGTTGTTGCCTTCTCACCAAGCTGCTCGCCTATTGTCCTGTAGCCCATCCCAGCCTTGTGCAGGTCTACAATTTTATCCCTGATGTCCTTACACAGCTCTCTGGTCTTGGCCATTGTGGAGAGGTTGGAGTCTGTTTGATTGAGTGTGTGGACAGGTGTCTTTTATACATGTAACGAGTTCAAACAGGTGCAGTTAATACAGGTAATGATTGGAGAACAGGAGGGCTTCTTAAAGAAAAACTAACAGGTCTGTGAGAGCCGGAATTCTTACTGGTTGGTAGGTGATCAAATACTTATGTCATGCAATAAAATGCAAATTAATTACTTAAAAATCATACAATGTGATTTTCTGGATTTTTGTTTTAGATTCCGTCTCTCACAGTTGAAGTGTACCTATGATAAAAAAAATTACAGACCTCTACATGCTTTGTAAGTAGGAAAACCTGCAAAATCGGCAGTGTATCAAATACTTGTTCTCCCCACTGTATATACAGTGAGGGAAAAAAGTATTTGATCCCCTGCTGATTTTGTACGTTTGCCCACTGACAAAGACATGATCAGTCTATAATTTTAATGGTAGGTTTATTTGAACAGTGAGAGACAGAATAACAACAAAAAAATCCAGAAAAATGCATGTAAAAAATGTTATATATTGATTTGCATTATGAGAGAAATAAGTATTTGACCCCTCTGCAAAACATGACTTAGTACTTGGTGACAAAACCCTTGTTGGCAATCAGAGGTCAGACATTTCTTGTAGTTGGCCACCAGGTTTGCACACATCTCAGGAGGGATTTTGTCCCACTCCTCTTTGCAGATCTTCTCCAAGTCATTAAGGTTTCGAGGCTGACGTTTGGCAACTCAAACCTTCAGCTCCCTCCACAGATATTCTAAGGGATTAAGGTCTGGAGCCTGGCTAGGCCACTCCAGGACCTTAATGTGCTTCTTTTTGAGCCACTCCTTTGTTGCCTTGGCCGTGTGTTTTGGGTCATTGTCATGCTGGAATACCCATCCACAACCCATTTTCAATGCCCTGGCTGAAGGAAGGAGGTTCTCACCCAAGATTTGACGGCCCGTTCATCGTCCCTTTGATGCGGTGAAGTTGTCCTGTCCCCTTAGCAGAAAAACACCCCCAAAGCATAATGTTTCCACCTCCATGTTTGACGGTTCAAATAAACCTACCATTAAAATTATAGACTGATCATGTTTTGTCAGTGGGCAAACGTACAAAATCAGCAGGGGATCAAATACTTTTTTCCCTTCACTGTATGTGTGTAATATAAATATATATATGTACAGTACCAGTCAAAAGTTTGGACACACCTACTCATTCCAGGGTTTTTCTTTATTTGTAACACACACACACACACACACACACACACACACACACACACACACACACACACACACACACACACACACACACACACATATATAGGTATATACACACATTTTACATATATACACACACACGGGACCAGACTTATAACATGTAATAACATTATAGAGTGCCTTCAGAAAGTATTCACACCCCTTAACTTTTTTCACACTTGGTTGTGTTACAGCCTGAATTTAAAATGGATTATATTTATATGTTTTTGTCACTGGCCTACACACAATACCCCATAATGTCAAAGTGGAATTATGTTTTTAAAAGTTTTTACTAATTAATTACAAATGAAAAGCTGAAATGTCTTGAGTAATAATTATTCAACCCCTTTGTTATGACAAGCCTGAATCAGGAGTAAAACATTGCTTAACAAGTCACATAATACGTTTCATGGATTCACTCTGTGTGCAATAATAGTGTTTAACTAGATTTTTTAATGACTACCTCCTCTCTGTACCCCTCACATACAATTATCTGTAAGGTCCCTCAGTTGGGCAGTGAATCTTAAACAGAGATTCAACCACAAAGACCAGGGAGATTTTCGAATGCCTCGCAAAGAAGGGTACCTATTGGTAGATTGGTTTTTAAAAAAAAGCAGACATTGAATATCCTTTTGAGCATGGTGCAGTTATTAATTACACTTTGGATGGTGTATCAATACACCCAGTCACTATAAAGATACAGGCGTCCTTTCTAACTCAGTTGCCGGAGAGGAAGGAAACCACTCAGGGATTTCACCATGAGGCAAATGGTGACTTGAAAACAGTTACAGAGTTTAATGGCTATAGGAGAAAACTGAGGATGGATCAACAACATTGTAGTTATTCCACAATACTAAGCTAATTGACAGTGAAAAGAACCCTGTAAAAAAAGCCTGTACAGAATACAAATTTTCGAAGAAATGTATCTTGTCTGCAATAAGGCACTAAAGTAAAACTGCAAAAAATGTGGCAAAGAAATGAACTTTATGTCCTGAATACAAAGCGTTATGTTTGGGGCAAATCCAACACATCACTGAACACCACTTTTCATATTTCCAAGCATTGTGGTGGCTGCATCATGTTATGGGTATGCTTGTCATCGGCAAGGACTAGGGAGTTTTTTGGGGGATAAAAATAAATGGAATAGAGCTAAGCACTGGCAAAATCCTAGAGGAAAACCTGGTTCAGTCTGCTCTTCAACAGACACTGGGAGACAAATTCACCTTTCAGCTGGACAATAACCTAAAACACAAGGCCAAATATACACTGGAGTTGCTTACCAAGACGACGTTGAATGTTCCTGAATGGCCTAGTTACAGTTTTGACTTAAATCTGCTTGAAAATCTATGGTAAGACTTGAAAATGGCAGAAAATTGACAGAGCTTGAAGAAATATTGTCCATTCCAGTAGCGCAAAGCTCTTAGAGACTTACCCAGAAAGACCCACAGCTGTAATCACAAAGGTGATTCTAACATGTATTGACTCAGGGGGTTGAATACTTATCTAATCAAGATATATTAGTGTTTTATTTTTCATATTTTTATTTTTACACATTTTAGAATTTTTCTTCCAGTTTGACAGAGTATTTTGTGTAGATCGTTGACATCCCACTTTGTACAACAACAAAATGTGGAAAAAGTCAAGGGGTATGAATTATTTCTGAAGGCACTGTATCTGCAGGCTTTAGGCCTAAGTGAAGTGTTACCATAAGGGGTTCTCAAAAACCCACCGGGGATGTTGTAGATCTGGCGACGGCCATCATGCTGGATCCGACTGCTGCCACCGCCACCACTACTGCTGCCACCACCTCCTCCGCAGCGCTGCTTCCCCGTCATCCCCAGCAGGCCGCTGGCCACGGAGAGCTGGGATGCCTGGGCGAAGTTGGAGAGGACGCCCCTCGCCGAGCTGGAGAGACCCCGTTGCATGGAGGCCTGAGGCTGGGGAGCCTGAGGGAGCAGAGGGTGAGAGAGAGGAGGAGGAAATCAGTGACCTCCAGATACATCAGTTCAGTCAAAAAGTTTTTTGGTAACTTAACAATTGAAAACATAATATGATACTGTGCCGGAGTACAGTCTACAAACGCTGCCAACTAAAATGGGGCCTAAGGATGGTTGACTGGGGGATATAAGTGGATCTACGCAAATATTGGGATGGGCCAAGGACTCATCTCAATAAAAAAAATTGACTACTTTTGAGGTCTGACAACAGTTGACAAATTAAGGTTTTGCAGTGAACTGTCACTTTAAGGTGTCTTAGTGTAGGCCCGTTACCTGACGCAGAGCGTGATGTCGGATCATGGTCTCGGCCTTGCTGACGACGTTGGGAACAGTCTGAGCCGTGCTGGGGGAGACGGCTGCCTGCTGCTGGAGCCTTTGCTCAATCTCCTGTTAAACATGAGGAGATAGAGAGAGATAAGGGTGGAGACAATGAACAAAGGATGGGAAGAAAAGGGTGGGACAGGGAGAGGGAGAGAGAAACAGACAAGAAATTCAAATACAAAAGCACAGCCACACACACGTAAAAAAAACTCGTAACAGTCAGAGCATGTCAGTGGTCAAGGGGAAAAAGTAATTTGTTTCACTCCGACAGCTCAGGGCACTAGAACATAATAAGGTCACGCTCTCTGACAGTTGTCAAGAGGTCAGCCGCAAAACGTACTTATTGTGAGTCACAAGTTGTTTGTAACATTCCTGCAAACTAGTATATTTTACCTAGCCTTGTTGTATACAGTGGCATGAAAAAGTATTTGCCCCCTTTAGATTTTCTCTATTTTTGCATATTTTTGAAACTGAATGTTATCAGATCTTCAACCAAAACCAAATATTAGATAAAGGGGAACCTGAGTTTACAAATAACAAAAACATTGATACCTATTTGATACAATGCAAATAGTCCGGGTAGCCATGATTAGCTGTTCAGGAGTCTAATGGCATGGGGGTAGAAGCTGTTAAGAAGCCTTTTGGACCTAGACTTGGCGCTCTGGTACCGCTTGCTGTGCGGTAGCAGAGAGAACAGTCTATGACTAGGGTGGCTGGAGTCTTTGACAATTTTTAGGGCCTTCCTCTGACACCGCCTGGTATAGAGGTCCTGGATGGCAGGAAGCTTGGGCCCAGTGATGTACTGGGCCATACACACTACACTCTGTAGTGCCTTGCGGTCGGAGGCCAAGCAGTTGCCATACCAGGCGGTGATGCAACCTGTCAAGATGCTCTCGATGGTGCAGCTGTAGAACTTTCTGAGGATCTGAGGAACCATGCCAAATATTTTCAGTCTCCTGAGGGGGAATAGGCTTTGTCGTGCCATCTTCACGACTGTCTTGGTGTGTTTGGACCATGATAGCTTGTTGGTGATGTGGACACCAAAGACTTGAAGCTCTCAACCTGTCCCACTACAGCCCTGTCAATGAGAATGGGGGCGTGCTCAGTCCTCTTTTTTTCCTGTATCCACAATCATCTCCTTTGTCTTGGTCACGTTGAGGGAGAGGTTGTTATCCTGGCACCACACGGCCAGGTCTCGGACCTCCTCCCTATAGGCTGTCTCATTGTTATCGTTGATCATGCCTACCACTGTTGTGTCGTCAGCAAACTTAATGATGGTGTTGGAGTCGTGCCTGGCCATGCAGTCATGGGTAAACAGGGAGTACAGGAGGGGACTGAGCACGCACCCCTGAGGGGCCCCGTGTTGAGGATCAGTGTGGCAGATGTGTTGTTACCTACCCTTACCACCTGGTCCAGGTGTCCAGGATCCAGTTGCAGAGGGAGGTGATTAGTCCCAGGGTCCTTAGCTTAGTGATGAGCTTTGAGGGCACTATGGTGTTGAACGCTGAGCTGTAGTAAATTAATAGCATTCTCACGTTGGTGTTCCTTTTGTCCAGGTGGGAAAGGGCAGTGTGGAGTGCAATAGAAATTGCATCATCTGTGGATCTGTTGGGGCGGTATGCAAATTGGAGTGGGTCTAGGGTTTCTGAGATAATGGTGTTGATTTGAGCCATTACCAGCCTTTCAAAGCACTTCATGGCTACAGACGTGAGTGCTACGGGTCGGTAGTCATTTAGGCAGGTTACTTTAGTGTTCTTGGACACAGGAACTATGGTGGTCTGCTTGAAACAAGTTATTATTACAGACTCCGTCTATGACAGGTTGAAAATGTCAGTGAAGACACTTGCCAGTTGGTCAGCACATGCTCGGAGGACACGTCCTGGTAATCCGTCTGGCCCTGCGGCCTTGTGAATGTTGACCTGTTTAAAGGTCTTACTCACATCGGCTACGGAGAGCGTGATCAAACAGTCGTCCGGAACAGCTGGTGCTCTCATGCATGCTTCAGTGTTGCTTGCCGCGAAGCGAGCATAGAAGTAATTTAGCTCGTCTGGTAGGCTCGTGTCACTGGGCAGCTCACGGCTGTGCTTCCTTTTGTAGTCTGTAATAGTTTGCAAACCCTGCCACATCCGACGAGGGTCGGAGCCGGTGTAGTACAATTCAATCTTAGTCCTGTATTGACGCTTTGCCTGTTTCATGGGTCGTCGGAGGGCATAGCGGGATTTCTTATAAGCGTCCGGGTTAGGCCACTAGGAGCGCTGCCTCTGGATAAGCGTTTTCCTGTTTGCTTATGGCCTAATGCAGCTCATTGAGTGCAATCTTAGTGCCAGCATCGGTTTGTGGTGGACAGCTGAGTAAAAAGTATAACTTTTTGGACGACATGGGTCCCATTATGCCTGGCAAAAACCAAACACTGCATTCCACAGTAAGAACCTTATACCAACGGTCAAGCATGGTGGTGGCAGTGTGATGGTTTGGGGATGATTTTCTGCCTCAGGACCTGGACGACTTGCCTTAATAGAAGGAACCATGAATTCTGCTCTGTATCAGATTATTCTCCAGGAGAATGTCAGGCCATCCGTCTGTTAGCTGAAGCACAGCTGGGTCATGCAGCAAGAAAATTATCCAAAACACACAATCAAGTCAACATGAAAATGGCTAAAAAGCAACACATTTGATGTTTTGGAATGGCCTAGTCAAAGTCCAGCCCTAATCCCAATTGAGATGTTGTGGCAGGACTTGAAACTAGCAGTTAATGCTTGAAATCCCACAAATGTCGCAGAGTTCAAGCAGTTCTGCATGCAAGTGTGGGCCAAAATTCCTCCACAGCGATGTGAGAGACTGATTAACAACTACAGGAAGCATTTGGCTGCATCATTGCAGCTAAAGGTGGCACAACCAGTACTTGAGTGTAAGAGGGCAATTACTTTTTCACACAGGGAAATTGGGTGTTAAATAAATGTGTTAATTAAATAAGTATCTATTTTTTTGTTATTTGTAAACTCAGGTTCCTTTATCTAATATTAGGTTTTGGTTGAAGATCTGATAACATTCAGTATAAAAAATATGCAAAAAAATTGAGGAAATCAGAAAAGGGGCAAATACTTTTTCACAGCACTGTATCTCTTTAATCCATGCCATTACATATGAAAAATAAAATCTGGGCCCCTATTCATAAAGTCTCAGAGTAGGAATGCGGATCTAGGATCAATTGTCTTTTAGATCAGATTACAGTGCATTCCGAAAGTATTCAGACCCCTTTACTTTTTCCACATTTTGTTATGTTACAGCCTTATTCTAAAATTGATTAAATCGGCTTCGGGACAAGTCTCTGAATGTCCTTGAGTGGCCCAGCCAGAGCCCAGACTTGAGCCCGACCGAACATCTCTGGAGAGACCTAAAAATAGCGGTGCAGCAATGCTCCCCATCCTACCTGACAGAGCTTGAGAGGATCTGCAGAGAATAATGAGAGAAACTTCCCAAATACAGGTGTGCCAAGCTTGTAGCGTCATACCCAAGAAAACTCTAGGCTGTAATCGCTGCCAAAGGTGCTTCAACAAAGTACTGAGTAAAGGGTCTGACACTTAAGTAAATGTGATATTTCAGGTTTGTTTTATTTAAATTAGCAAACAATTCTAAAAACCTGTTTTTGCTTTGTCATTATGGGGTATTATGTGTAGATTGATGAGAAAAAAAAACAATTTAATGAATTTTAGAATAAGGCTGTAACGTAACATGTGGAAAAAGTCAAGGGTTCTGAATACTTTCCGAATGCACTGTAGATCAGGCCCTGTTAAAAGGGGTTGAGCTAACCTGCTCCTGCTGCAGGGCCTTGACGAATGCGTTCTTCAGCCTATTTGTGTGCTCCGCCTTCAGGGCCTTCTTCTGATTGGACGTCATGCACTGCTCGCAGAGGATACGCCCGCCCTTCTCCTGCTTCCAGTGGGGGGTGAAGTCGATCCTGCACTGGCCGCAGAAGAAGGGCTCCATGCGCGACAGCGTCCCCCGCAGCTTACCTGATGAGAGGCAGGAGGCATTTATTAAAGGTTTTGATTCTTAATCAGCTTGAGGGGGTCAGTTTAAAGTAACTGTCCAGTGTTTCCAGATTTCTATGAAATATTACCTATAATTAATTACAATATGAGCAAAATAGTTTCCTTCCAAATGTGTTTAATTAAGTATGTTAAAAAGCAGCTTTTCTGTGTTGGAATAGGGTGGGCGTACCACAAACACAGAATGGTGTGGGCGTATATCGGTCATAAAAAATATTCATGTGATTAGATAGGTGATTGGCCAGCTCATCCTCCTCAGGAGGATAACATCATCCTATATGAAGAAATAGCAATTTTTTAAATGGTCTGTTTGAGATACAAGTTTGAGGTGGGTTTTTTAAAAATGTTTTTTTCATCAATTTATGCTTTGGCCACAAATATGAGTATAGGATGAGTTAACAACATTATTTGGGTATGAGTTAACATAATATTCACTTTAATAAGTTCGATTTTCACTGGACAGCATGGTGAGGTGCAGAATCTCTCATCTTGATCATATAAAGAGATTTGTAGCGGTGCCTGTCCAGTGGCTTACCCTGGCTGTCGATGACGCTCTGCACCACCTCCTCCAGGCCCACCATGTAGATGAACTCGCTGTTGGCCGCCGACGGCAAGAAGTGCAGGAGTGGGGCCGGCGGCTTGGGCGGCGGGATCTCCAGCAGGGTTTTCTCCAGCTGTTTGCGCAAGGCCAGCTTGGCTGCTGCCTGGCTGCTTGCCTGGTCCGCCAGGGAACTCACGCCGGAGCTTCCGCCGCTACCTGTTCCGCTCGATATGGTGGAAGGGCTGACAGCGCCCATCCCACTGCTGCCCATCCCCACGCCGCCCACACCCCCCGCAGCCTGCATGTGGGCCAAGTTCATGTAGATTGCAGAGGAGCACGAACGCTGGGACACCGCCACCTGCTGGCTGGTGGCCTGTGGTGCGTTCAACGCACAAGGGAAAAGGGGCACAGTGGAAAGACTGTGAGACAAGTTGAAGTGATTGCTATTCTAAACACGGAATGGTCCTCTGGATGGCCTTTATGACGTTTAAAATGCTCAAGGGATGAAGTGGTATAAGGAATATAGTGGGAACTTCCTCCAGCCATGCTTGCAATGATCCAATGCCTTTAAATGCATGAGGGGGAGTGACCAAGTGCATACTCATGGGTGAAGGTTAGAGAATTGGAATGCAACCAGTGTTTTCTGAAACGTGGAGAGCAGAGGGGTGGCACCATACCTGCTGGTAGCTGACGTTGCTCATACTACCCGTGCTGGAGCGGCCCATGCCAGGCTTGGAGGGCATTCTCTGGCCCTGTAGCTGGGACGGGTTGGGGGCGATGACCCTCTGTGACATCATCATCGGGGGCAGGGAGGCGTTGGCCCCCGACCTGATGACTGTGTGACCCTGTGGAGGGAGGAGAGGAAAGGTTAGAGGAAATAGAAAGAGAAGAAGGGATGACCAGCAGGGATGGAGGAGGAAGAGGAACAGAAAAAGGTGAGAAAGTGATAGAGAAGAGGAGAGAGTTAATAAAAAATGGGGAGAATCATGAGAGGAACAATTCACATTTGGATGCATTTTAATTAATTACGCAATTGAATTGATCAGGAATCCACATTTGCTACACGCCGTGTGCCATTGAAATAGAGAGAGGCAGTCATCCAAGAATGTAATGCTTCTATAAATGGGTATATGTTGTACTGTTTGTAGTCACTAGAGGGCAATAGATACTTGGCCTTATTGTCACAGTTCAGATAGTCATTGAACAGCTAAGATAAAAAGCTGACCTGACCAACCCATGTCCAATTCAAGGGATCATGGATCAAAGCAATGTCTTCCATTTATAAATGTAAGATATCAACCTAACCAGGAACCATATGCTTTTCAAAACACAAACATGATCCAAAGAGTAGTGAAATAGATTTGCCTCAGCATGCATACACAAATAAGCATAGAGTAATGATCCTACAGCATTGGTAAGTAATGCATTACAAGACGTTCCAACTGAAGGACCAATAATGCTCTTGGAGCTGTGGATCGCAGGTTTGACTCAGACCAGGGGTGCAGGTTGAGCTCCGGTTAGTCTAATGCCAAAAATCACTGCAATACACACACACACACACACACACACACACACACACACACACACACACACACACACACACACACACACACACACACACACACACACACACACACACACACACACACACACACACACACACACACACACACACACACCTGTGCACTGCGGAAGTTCTGGGGCTCTGGAGTGTGCATGCCAGGGCGCACCGGCAGCTTTCCCATCCCCTGTGAACTGTGGATAGGGGATGGCTGCACCGAAGCGGGGGTATTCTGGACCACCGGTACCTGGATGGGTTGGAATAGAATAGTTAGAATAGAAAACATAACACATATGGAATCATGTACTAACCAAAAAAGTGTTCTCTCAACCAGCGTCATGATGTAGTCACCTGGAATACATTTAAATTAACAGGTGTGCCTTCTTAAAAGTTAATTTATGGAATGTATTTCCTTCTTAATGCATTTGAGCCAATCAGTTGTGTTGTGACAAGGTAGGGTTGGTATACAGAAGATAGCCCTATTTGGTAAAAGACCAAGTCCATATTATGGCAAGACCAGCTCAAATAAGCAAAGACAAATAACAGTCCATCATTACTTTAAGACATGAAGGTCTGTAAATCCGGGAAAATTTCAAGAACTTTGAACGTTTCTTCAAGTGCAGTCACAAAAACCATCAAGCACTATGATGAAACTGGCTCTCATGAGGACCGCCACAGGAAAGGAAGACCCAGAGTTACCTCTGCTGCTCAGATTGCAGCCCAAATAAATGCTTCACAGAGTTCAAGTAACAGACACATCTCAACATCAACTGTTCAGAGGAGACTGCGTGAATCAGGCCTTCATGGTCGAATTGCTGCAAAGAAACCACTACTAAAGGACACCAATAAGAAGAAGAGACTTGCACGAGCAATGGACATTAGACTGGTGGAAATCTGTCTATTGGTCTGATGAGTCCAAATGTGAGATTTTTGGTTCCAACCGCTATGTCTTTGTGAGACGCAGAGTAGGTGAACAGATGATCTCTGCAAGTGTGGTTCCCACCGTGAAGCATGGAGGTGTGATGGTGCTTTGCTGGTGACACTGTCAGTGATTTATTTAGAATTCAAGGCACACTTAACTAGCATGGCTACCACAGCATTCTACAGCGATACGCCATCCCATCTGGCTTGCGCTTAGTGGGACTATAATTTGTTTTCAACAGGACAATGACCCAACACACCTCCAGGCTGTGTAAGGGCTATTTGACCAAGAAGGAGAGTGATGCAGTGCTGCATCAGATGACCTGCCTTCCACAATCATCCGACCTCAACCCAATTGTTTGGGAAGAGTTGGACCGCAGAGTGAAGGAAAAGCAGCCAACAAGTGCTCAGCATATGTGGGAACTCCTTCAAGACTGTTGGAAAAGCATTCCAGGGGAAGCTGGTTGAGAGAATGCCAAGAGTGTGCAAAGCTGTCATCAAGGCAAAGGGTGGCTACTTTGAAGAATCTCAAATCTCAAATATATTTTGATTTGTTTAACACTTTTTTGGTTACTACATGAATCCATATGTGTTATTTCATAGTTTTGATGTCTTCACTATTATTCTACAATGTAGAAAATAGTTAAAATAAAGAAAAACTCTTGAATGAGTAGGTGTGTCCAACCTTTTGACTGGTACTGTACATTGTATTATCACTTGCTTTACACGTGGCAGGGTCAGGTCTGGCAGGAGAACATACACAAACTCTCGCTCTCTCTTTCAAAACAGAGACACACACCACACATAATAATGTCACTGATCGCTGCTATGTTTACTCCTGCTCTATGACATTGAGATGTTTAGTCTGTGTCAGCACAATCTCACTACTACTTCAAACAGTGGACTTAGGTAACACTGCTACAGTTGATGTCGGAAGTTTACATACACTTAGGTTGGAGTCATTAAAACTAGTTTTTCAACCACTCCACAAAATTATTGTTAACAAACTATAGTTTGGGCAAGTCGGTTAGGACATCTACTTTGTGCATGACACAAGTAATTTTTCCAACAATTGTTTACAGACAGATTATTTCACTTATAATTCACTGTATCACAATTCCAGTGGGTCAGAAGTTTACATACACTAAGTTGACTGTGCCTTTAAACAGCTTGGAAAATTCCAGAAAATGATATCATGGCTTTAGAAGCTTCTGATAGGCTAATTGACATCATTTTAGTCAATTGGAGGTGTACCTGTGGATGTATTTCAAGGCTTACCTTCAAACTCAGTGCCTCTTTGCTTGACATCATGGGAAAATCAAAAGAAATCAGCCAAGACCTCAGAACATTTTTTGTAGACCTCCACAAGTCTGGTTCATCCTTGGGAGCAATTTCCAAATGCCTGAAGGTACCACGTTCATCTGTACAAACAATAGTACGCAAGTATAAACACCATGGGACCACGCAGCCGTCATACCGCTCAGGAAGGAGACGCGTTCTGTCTCCTAGAGATGAACGTACTTTGGTGTGAAAAGTGCATATCAATCCCAGAACGTTGCGAAGGACCTTGTGAAGATGCTGGAGGTAACAGGTACTAAAGTATCTAAATCATAGTAAAACCAGTCCTATATCGACATAACCTGAAAGGCTGCTTATCAAGGAAGAAGCCACTGCTCCAAAACCGCCATAAAAAAACAGGCTACGGTTTGCAACTGCACATGGGGACAAAGATCGTACTTTTTGGAGAAATGTCCTCTGGTCTGATGAAACAAAAATATAACTGTTTGGCCATAATGACCATCGTTATGTTTGGAGGAAAAAGGTGGATGCTTGCAAGCCGAAGAACACCATCCCAACCGTGAAGAACAGGGTTGGCAGCATCATGCTGTGGGGGTGCTTTGCTGCAGGAGGGACTGGTGCACTTCACAAAATAGATGGCATCATGAGGAAGGAAAATTATGTGGATATATTGAAGCAACATCTCAAGACATCAGTCAGGAAATTAAAGCTTGGTTGCAAATGGGTCTTCCAAATGGACAATGACCCCAAGCATACTTCCAAAGTTGTGGCAAAATGGCTTAAGGACAACAAAGTCAAGGTATTGGAGTGGCCATCACAAAGCCCTGACGTCAATCCCATAGAAAATTTGTGGGCAGAACTGAAAAAGCGTGTGCGAGCAAGGAGGCCTACAAACCTGACTCAGTTACACCAGCTCTGTCAGAAGGAATGGGCCTAAATTCCCCCAACTTATTGTGGGAAGCTTGTGGAAGGGTACCCGAAACGTTTGACCCAAGTTAAACAATTTAAAGGCAATGCTACCAAATACTAATTGAGTGTATGTAAACTGATGACCCACTGGGAATGTGATGAAATAAATAAAAGCTGAAATAAATAATTCTCTCTACTATTATTCTGACATTTCACATTCTTAAAACAAAGTGGTGATCCTAACTGACCTAAGACAGGGAAGTTTTACTAGGATTAAATGTCAGGAATTGTAAAAAACTGAGTTTAAATGTATTTGGCGAAGGTGTATGTAAACTTCCGACTTCAACTGTACATGCTGAGCCATACCCATTTACACTGTGGTTTCACTAGTATCAGGCAGTTTTAGTGGCTATACATTCAAGCAAGAGTGGCATTAGCCTGTATTTTGTGAGATATTTGATGCTGATTTTAGTGAATGCGTCCCGGATTGTGTTTTTGTTTACTGGTTGATTATCCAATGTAAAGTGAGGTAGTTGGCTAAGGAATTGAAACACCAGCATACAGTGCATTTGGAAAGTATTCAGACCCCTTGACTTTTTCCACTTTGTTACGTTACAGCCTTATTCTAAAATTGAATAAATCGTTTTCCCCCCTCATCAATCTACACACAATACCCCATAATGACAAAGCAAAAACAGGTTTATAGAAATGTTTGCAATTACATAAGTATTCAGACCCTTTACTCAGTACTTTGTTGAAGCACCTTTGTTGAAGCGATTACAGCCTCGGATCTTCTTGGGTATGATGCTTCAAGCTTGACACACCTGTATTTGGAGAGTTTCTCCCGTTCTTCTCTTCAGATCCTCTCAAGCTCTGTCAGGTTGGATGGGGAGTATCGCTATTTTCAGGTCTCTCCAGAGATGTTCAGTCAGGCTCAAGTCCAGGCTCTGGCTGGGCCACTCAAGGACATTCAGAGACCTGTCCCGAAGCCACTCCTGCATTGTCTTGGCTGTGTGCTTAGGGTCGTTGTCCTGTTGGAAGGTGAATCTTTGCCCCAGTCTGAGGTCCTGAGCACTCTGGAGCAGGTTTTCATCAAGGATCTCTCTATACTTTGCTCCGTTCATCTTTCCCCCCGATCCTGACTAGTCTTCCAGTCCCTGCCGCTGAAAAACATCACCACAGCATGATGCTGCCAACACCATGCTTCACCGTAGGGATGGTGCCATGTTTACTCCAGACGTGTTGCTTGGCATTCAGGCCAAAGAGTTCAATCTTGGTTTCATCAGACCAGAGAATCTTGTTTCTCATGGTCTGAGAGTCCTTTAGGTGCCTTTTGGCAAACTCCAAGCGGGCTGTCATGTGCCTTTTACTGAGGAGTGGCTTTTGGTCACCTCCCTGACCAAGGCCTTTCTCCCCCGATTGCTCAGTTTGGAAGAGGAAGAGTCTTGGTGGTTCCAAACTTCTTCCATTTAAGAATGATGAGACCACTGTGTTCTTGGGGACCTTCAATGCTGCAGAAATGTTTTGGTACCCCTCCGCAGATCTGTGCCTCGCCACAATCCTGTCTCGGAGCTCTACGGACAATTCCTTCGACTCACGGCTTGGTTTTTGCTCTGACATGCACTGTCAACTGTGGGACCTTATATAGACAGGTGTGTGCATTTTCCAAATCATGTCCAATCAATTGAATTTACCACAGGTGGACTCCAATCAAGTTGTAGAAACATCTCAAGGATGATCAATGGAAACAGGATGCACCTGAGCTCAATTTCGAGTCTAATAGCAAAGGGTCTGAATACTTATGTAAATAAGGTATTTCTGTTTAAATGTCCACACATTTCTAAAAACCTGTTTTTCGCTTTGTCATTATGGGGTATTGTGTGTAGATTGATGAGGGAAAAAAAAAACGTTTTAATCCATTTTAGAATAAGGCTGTAACGTAACAAAATCTGGAAAAAGGGAAGGAATCTGAATACTTTCCGAAGGCACTGTATTGTCACATACTAGGGTGCTGGGTCTCATTTGATATTTTATATAACGATATTTCAGTCAACTTTCTGAATTGAATATGGAATGATATTAGTGTCAACTCTGGTACTAACCTTCTGCACGACATTCTCCTTCTGGATCTGGCTCTGCCGAAGCTTCTTGAGCAGCACCAGACGGGCCTCCTCCAGACGCAACTCTTCCCGCAGAGCCTTGATCATCTGCTGCCGCTCCTCGCCAGTCTTCCCCTAGAACACATACGTCACACACACACACACACACACACACACACACACACACACACACACACACACACACACACACACACACACACACACACACACACACACACACACACACACACACACACACACACACACACACACACACACACACACACACACACACACACACACACACACACACACACGTTTATGGATAGGACAGTAAAGGGCTGACAGGAAAGGTAGGAGGAGTGTGAGTATGAAGGGCAGTGGGGCAGATTTGAACCATGCCGACTCTGGTCTACATGTGTGCCATGGTCAGAGTCAGCGGCTCTAATTGCTAGACCACCCAGGCCACGTGGAGACAATGTACCTTGAAGATCTCCAGGTTGGCCTGGTGCAGCCTCTCTTCGGGGTGGGGCGTCCCCCTGGGACTGGATGCCTCGTTGTCCGACAGGATGATCACGTCTGGGGACGGAGTGTGTCTCTCACGGTCCACATCGCTGGAGGTGGGAGAGAGGAGGACCAGCGACGAATGATGACCAACAGAGGATGAATGGTGTACTCTGTTTAGCGCTGCATAGAGCTACACTGCATTACCTCCTCTACATGGAGCTACACTGAGTAACACAATACTAAACAGGCTACAACAATATGCATTGTACAATGAATGAATGAATGAAAGAAAATGTGTGTCAAATCGTCAGTTGGCAACCCATCCCTTATGGGATTAATTGACACAAACAAACATTACAATAATTCACTGTGATAATTCAGTGAGGATTCTTCTTCCGGTGTTCTCTGCAGTGCGCATCGCATGAATACATGTATAAGGTGTTTTTGTTTTTTAAATCTGCGTTACACGCCAACTAAATACACTTCCAAAGTCCACATCTTCTGCACAACTAATTTCAATCCCAAATTGTCCACCCATCACCTGTTCTACGTCCATTTTAAATCATGATTGATTACAGTGCCTTGCAAAAGTATTCATCCCCCTTGGCGTTTTTCCTATTTTGTTGCATTACAACCTGTAATTTAAATAGATTTTTATTTGGATTTCATGTAATGGACATACACAAAATAGTCCAAATTGGTGAAGTGAAATGCAAAAAATAACTTGTTTCAAAAAACTCTAAATAACGGAAAGGTGGTGCGTGCATATGTATTCACCCCCTTTGCTATGAAGCCCATAAATAAGATCTGGTGCAACCAATTACCTTCAGAAGTCACATAATTAGTTAAATAAAGTCCACCTGTGTGCAATCTAAGTGTCACATGATCTCAGTATATATACACACATACAGCTCTGGAAAAAATTAAGAGACCACTGCAAATTTTTCTTAAATCAGCATCTCTACATGTATGATAGCCATTCCATTCCAGTGTCTGTTGAATTCCAACACAGGCACACCTCATTCTACTGAATTAGGTACTGATTAGGTGATCACCTGAACCAAATGTTATTTAATGAGGAAAAGTATAAAAACCACTGCTGTGGTCATCCCTATCCTCTTGCAATAGGATCAGCTGGATGGCAAAAACAGTGCTAATAGTACCTCAAAAGTAATAATCAAAAAATAACTATTGACCATGCCAAAAGAGTTGAAAAGGAAAGTTTTGAGTGAGGAAAAGAAGGGTTCAATTCTGGCTTTACTGGCAGAGGGATACAGTGAGCGTCAGGTTGCTTCCATCCTTAAAATTTCAAAGACGGCGGTTCATAAGAACAAGGTCAAGCAGCAGACATTGGGGACAACAAAGCTACAGACCGGCAGAGAGCGAAAACGACTCTCTACTGACCGGGATGACCGCCAACTCATTCGAATGTCACTCAACAACCGTAGGATGACATCAAGTGACCTACAAAAATAATGGCAAATGGCAGCTGGGGTGAAGTGCACGGCGAGGACGGTTCGAAACAGGCTCCTAGGGGCAGGGCTGAAGTCGTGCAAAGCTAGAAAAAAGCCCTTCATCAATGAGAAGCAAATAAGAGCCAGGCTGAGATTTGCAAAAGACCATAAGGATTGGACTGGAGTAAGGTCATCTTCTCTGATGAGTCCAATTTTCAGCTTTGCCCAACACCTTGTTGTCTAATGGTTAGACGGAGACCTGGAGAGGCCTACAAGCCAGAGTGTCTCGCACCCACTGCGAAATTTGGTGGAGGATCGGTGATGATCTGGGGGTGCTTCAGCAAGGCTGGAATCGGGCAGATTTGTCTTTGTGAAGGACGCATGAATCAAGCCACGTACAAGGTTGTCCTGGAAGAAAACTTGCTTCCTTTTGCGCTGACATTGTTCCCCAACTCTGAGGATTGGTTTTTCCAGCAGGACAATGCGCCATGGCACACAGCCAGGTCAATCAAGGTGTGGATGGAGGACCACCAGATCAAGACCCTGTCATGGCCAGCCCAATCTCCAGACCTGAACCCCATTGAAAACTTCTGGAATGTGATCAAGAGGAAGATGGATGGTCACAAGCCATCAAACAAAGCCGAGCTGCTTAAATTTTTGCGACAAGAGTGGCATAAAGTCACCCAACATCAATGTGAAAGACTGGTGGAGAGCATGCCAAGACGCATGAAAGCTGTGATTGAAAATTAGGGTTATTCCACCAAATATTGATTTATGAACTCTTCCTAAGTTAAAACATTAGTATTGTGTTGTTTAAAAATTAACATGAACTTCTTTGCATTATTCAAGGCCTGACAACACAGCATCTTTTTTGTTGTTTGACCATTTTCTGCAAATAAATGCTCTAAATGACAATATTTTTATTTGGAATTTGGGAGAAATGTTGTCAGTAGTTTATAGAATAAAACAAAAATGTTAATTTCACCAAAACACATACCTATAAATAGTAAAACCAGAGAAATGTATATTTTTGCAGTGGTCTCTTAATTTTTTCCAGAGCTGTATTTATATATACACACACACACCTGTTCTGAAAGTCCCCAGAGTCTGCAACACCACTAAGCAAGGGGCACCACCAAGCAAGCGGAGGGGGGGGGGGTGAATAGTTATGCACGCTCAAGTTCTGTTTTTTTGTCTTATTTCATGTTTGTTTCACAAAAAAAATATTTTGCATCTTCAAAGTGGTAGGCATGTTGTGTAAATGAAATGATACAAAGCCCCCAAAAAATCTGTTTTAATTCCAGGATGTAAGGCAACAAAATATGAAAAATGCCAAGGGGTGTGAATACTTTCGCAAGCCACTGTATATTATTCTTACCCTCTTCTGGCGCTAAAGTCCACTGGTTCGTCCACCATGTTCTCCTTGCCGTTCTTACTCGGCCCTCCGTGGCCCCCCAGCCTCCCGTTCATCTTCTCCTCATAGGCCGCCGCCGCGCCCGCCAGCATACTCTGGTGGTGGTGGCTCCCCTCCAGTCCCCCTTTGCCGTCGTCCAGGGACCCGGCTGCCACTGCTGCCCCTTCCAACGCAGCCAGGTCCTTGCGCTTGAGCAGGGCCAGCATCTTGAGGCGCTCCATAGCCTCGTGGCCCTCCATCTTAAGGCGCTTGGCCAGGGCCTCTTCACGCTCCTCGGACGTCTCCAGGCCCCGTTTGAGCAGGTTCAGCCGCAGCGCCTCCTCAGACATCCGCTCCATCCTGGAAACAAAGGAAGGGAGGGAGGAACGTGAGGTTCAATTCAATTCAACCAGATATTTGAAAGCATTTCACAGATCACAGATGCTTATGAACCATGGTTGAGAGTGAGCCTATGTGAAGATAACACCTCAAAACGAACAGTCTCGCCCTGCAGCTATGTATTTTATAGTGAAAATAGGGCCTTTGTTGCTCTTTATGTGTGTGTGTGTGTGTGTGTGTGTGTGTGTGTGTGTGTGTGTGTGTGTGCGTGTGCGTAAAAATGAGTGTGTGGGATTGTTATATCCCTGACCGCCCACTGACTAACTACGCAATCAGGTGACTCCCTGACAGCATCCAATTAACTAATTACACAAGCATTACATTTTGATACCAGTCATATTCACCACTTGATGGCACGAATATTGAAGTCAACAAAAATATTTAAGAAAGGGATGTTTGAGTCTTTCAAGTGGGAAATTGTAAAATATTTGAAAGCCTACAGAATTCTCATCCTCAACGGTGAATCTGTGAGAGTCTGAAAGTGAACTCTTTCACCTTGAGTGAATGGGGGTGTTCTTATTTTGCAATATCACCAGATGACATCAGGTGCATTGACCCGTGACTAACTGACAATTATGTTAACAAGTGGATGACGGTTATTCATGTCATGTCGTTATATTAAAACAAGTTCCTATCCACCAAATGAATGTATGAGAAGGAACACACAAATACAATTAATGCGTGTTAAACATTGACTTGACATTTTCAAGTAACCTACATTGGTGCTCAAGACATCTCTTTAGGCCAAGGATCATCAACTAGATTCAGCCGCGGGCCGATTTTTTCTTTAGCGGATGGTCAGGGTGCCGGAACATAATTACAAATGATTTGTTGACTGCAAATTGACCGCAAGAAGCCCAAACAGATATAATATTTGACTAAAACATAACCATTTTAAACCTTGCTTACATTGGTATACGATCACATATATCTTTCTATTATGCGTGGGAATTCTTTGGAACAGATTTACTAAATTAAAAATTACTTGGAGCTGATTTGCTGGGGTTTTTACAGTCTTAAGTCCAACAATTAAAATAAAAAATACATTTCATTTGTATTTATTTTTGCTCAGAAAACTTGGGGTGACAAATAAAAATCACCCGCGAGCCAAATTGTGCGTGGTTACTATGTGGATCACACCAGTGAGGAAGACTTCGGTTGGGTGGCAACCAATGACCTCTCACAAACACGGTTTTGTCATGTGACTGGTTGCTATAAGTAGGCTGACTGAGCATTTGGTCCAATCAAAAGCCTGCGTCAGGAATGCAAGCTGGAAGTGCAAAAAGCCTCAAAACACTGACACAGTAATTGCATGTTTACTGAATAAGGCAATGATAACAGATTGTACGTTTTACACATACATCTTCATAATGCACGTGAAAGGAGCCCTCTGTTTGTACAGTTACAGTAGAGCCGTAAGATTTAGATTCTAAAGAAAGGTCCTATAATATCCACATAAGAAGAAACATTTCTCAGAGGCCAGTATCAATCCAGATCATACTAGATAGTGTATGTTCAATGTGTGTGGAGAACATATGCGCATGAGGTCATACGTGTTCAAGTGCCCGTGAGTTAAATTGTGTGCATACATACAGAGTCTGCTCCAGTTTGACCATGTGTCACGTACAAGCGATCTAAATGATCATGTATGTGCGTGCCTATCACACTAAGTTAAGCACGCTTGGGTGGGCTATGGAAGGCCCGAGGACAGACGCACACACCCACACACCAGACAGTATGTGTCGGCTTTTGTCCGCTGGCAACTCCCTATCTGCTCAATACATTTGTATTCCAGTCACCGTAGATAGCAAGCCTGAGATTAAGTGCATTACTATCAGGCGTTGCACTGCACAGTGCTCTGACGTCTGCATCGGTTCCTAGAGATCTTGCTCTGCATACCAACAATAAGCAGTTCAGAACTGACCTTACAAAATGCTATCCACTGTCTACAAGTAGACAAAACATAAGATTGCAGTCAAAATATATTAGATAAAACATCCCAGCCAGACATACAAACATAAAATAAATAACAGCACATCAAAGGATAGTATAAAGCATCAAAGGATAGTATAAACATAAGATGTTGGGGGAAACATGATGAGTACATTAAAATCTGTGGATGTATGGCTCTGTTATAATCTTCAGGTATTTCCAGGATTTTCTACAAAGATAAGTTTCCCCTGGCAGCACATATATGGATTTCCATTGTAGATACAGCCAGTATCTGATGAAAAACCATCCCAATTAAGAAACTATCTCGATTCATATTCAGACAATGTGCGGGGAGAGCCAAGCTCATTCTCAGTTAACAGATGACAGATGAGGCCTTCAGTGATGCATATATGAGCACACTGCACCAACAGTCAAACAGAGCTATAGAAGTAGCACAATGGAGGATGCCTTGTCTGTAGTCACACATATCACCTCAATGCAGGTGTTCTGTAATATGATGCTTCCCCATCAGAACATGCGTCCATGTGTGTCGTAACGGTGTTACCCTTTCTGTTCTGGTTTGTAGATGAAAGATTACTTTCATAATTTGCATAATATAAAACGCAACATCAAATCAAACTTTATTTGTCACATGCGCCGAATACAACAGGTGTAGACCTTACCGTGAAATGCTTACTTACAAACCCTTTACCAAAAATGCAGTTTATCAAATAAACTAAAGAAAAAAATAATAAAAACATTTGAATAACAATAATGAGGCTATATACAGGGGGTACCGGTACCGAGTCAATGTGCGTGGGTACAGGTTCGTCGAGGTAATTTGTAGGTAGGGGTAAAGTGACTAAACATAGATAATAGACAGCGGGTAGCAGCAGTGTAAAAACAAATGGGGGGGGGGGTCCGGGTAGCCATTTCAGCAGTTTTATGGCTTGGGGGTAGAAGCTGTTAAGAAGCCTTTTGGTTCTAGACTTGGCGTTCCGGTATCGCTTGCCGTGCAGTAGCAGAGAGAACAGTCTATGACTCGGGTGACTGGAGTCTTTGACCATTTTTTGGCCTTTCTTCTGACACCGCCTAGTATATAGGTCCTGGATGGAATGAAGCTTGGCCCCAGTGATGTACCGGGCTGTACACACTACCCTCTGTAGCGCCTTACGGTCAAGATGCCGAGCAGTTTCCATACCAGGCGGTGATACAACCGGTCAGGATGCTCTCGATGTTGCAGCTGTAGAACTTTTTGAGGATCTGGGGACCCATGCCAAATCTTTTCAGTCTCCTGGGGGGGGGGGAAAAGGTGTTGTCGTACCCTCTTCACGACCATGATAGCTTGTTGGTGATGTGGACACCAAGGAACTTGAAACGCTCGACCCGCTCCACTACAGCCCTGTCGATGTTAATGGGGGCCTGTTCAGCACGCCTTTTCCTGGATCTGTTGGGGCAGTATTCGAATTGGAGTGGGTCTAGGGTATCCGGGATGATGCTGTTGATGTGAGCCTTTCAAAGCACTTTATGGCTACTGACGTGAGTGCTACAGGGCGGTAATTATTTAGGCAGGTTACCTTCACTTCCTTGGGCACAGGGTCTATGGTGGTCTGCTTGAAACATGTAGGTATTACAGACTAGGTCAGGTTGAAAATGTCAGTGAAGACACTTGCCAGTTGGTCCGTGCATGCTTTGACTACACGTCCTGGTAATCCATCTGGCCCCGCGGCTTTGTGAATGTTGACCTGTTTAAAAGGTCTTGCTCTCATTGTCTACCAAGAGCATTATCACACAGTCGTCCGGAACAGCTGGTGCTCTCATGCATGCTTCAGTGTTACTTGTCTCGAAGCGAGCATAAAAGGCATTTAGCTCGTCTGGTATGCTTGCGTCACTGGGCATCTCGCGGCTGGGTTTCCCTTTGTAGTCCGTAAATAGTTTTCAGAGCCGGTGTAGTAGGATTCAATCTTAAACCTGTATTGAGGCTTTGCCTGTTTGATGGTTCATCTGAGGGCGCAGTGGGATTTCTTATAAGCGTCCGGATTAGTGTCCCGTTCCTTGAAAGCGGCAGCTCTAGCCTTTAGCTCGATGCGGATGTTGCCTGTAATCCATGGCTTCTGGTTGGGATATGTACGTACAGTCACCGTGGGGATGATGTCGTCGATGCACTTATTGATGAAGCCGATGACTGAGGTGGTATACTCCTCAATGCCATTGGATGAATCCCGGAACATATTAAAGTCTGTGCTAGCAAAACAGTCCTGTAGCGTAGCATCCGCGTCATCTGACCACTTCTGTACTGCAACAGTTTCAACGATTTTACTGAGTTACAGTTCATATAAGGAAATCCATCAATTGATATACAGTTGAAGTCGGAAGTTTCCATACACTTAGGTTGGAGTCAACAAATGTCCACAAATGTATTGTTAACAAACTATAGTTTGGGCAAGTCGGTTAGGACATCTACTTTGTGCATGACACAAGTAATTTTTCCAACAATCAGACAGATTATTTCACTTATAATTCACTGTATCACAATTCCAGTGGGTCAGAAGTTTACATACGCTAAGTTGACTGTGCCTTTAAACAGCTTGGAAAATTCCAGAAAATTATGTCATGACTTTAGAAGCTTCTGATAGGCTAATTGACATCATTTGAGTCAATTGGAGGTGTACCTGTGGATGTATTTCAAGGCCTACCTTCAAACTCAGTGCCTCTTTGCTTGACATCATGGAAAAATCAAAAGAAATCAGACAAGACCTCAGAAAAAAGATTGTAGACCTCCACAAGTCTGGTTCATCCTTAGGAGCAATTTCCAAACGCCTGAAGGTACCACGTTCATCTGTACAAACAATAGTACACAAGTATAAACACCATGGGACCATGCAGCCGTCATACCGCGCAGGATGGAGACGCGTTCTGTCTCCTAGAGATGAACGTACTTTGCTGCGGAAAGTGCAAATCAATCCCAGAACAACAGCAAAGGACCTTGTGATGATGCTAGAGGAAACAGGTACAAAAGTATCTAGAT